CTCTCCTGGTTCTCTGTGTCTTCTGCTTATGTGACAAATAAGCTGAATTTGCAGAAAGAAACCTAAAATTGTATTGAGACAAGTGAAGTACTATGAAGTATAAAGGCATGTGTCTTTTAGTTATAGTACACAATTACAACAGGCTCATTATGATGTGGAAATTCACCTTCTTTCAGAAATTAAAACACTTGGAAACCTTTCTCAGATAATCCTCTTCATTTCAAGGATGAATGAGGATTTTAGAGCAGATCATGTGAACTTTTAATATAATTCTGGAGCTATTTTAAAACTCTGAAATTGGAGAAAGTTATGGTGCATATTGGCAAATTGTCTTTTCTGATTAAACTTAGACTTCGTTGAGGCAAGGTTTAAGATGCACTTGTAACCTGCAGATAATTAAGTAAATGCTAATAAAATAACCAGTAGGACTGAATTCTGATGAAGCCTGGATGCTGTACTTGAAGTGTGAAAGCACAGAGATAGGCTATGAGACCTTTTCAGGAAGGGGGAATTTTGGTCTCTTCCTTGGAATCTGTGGAAGAAAGTATGGTCATTATTTCTCCCAGTGTACAGCCACTAGAGAAAAGATCATATCTGCTTCCAGCTGCTTGGTTTGATACTGATATATTCAATGCTGGCAGCATAGGTAATCTGGTTTCTAAGTCTTTTTCTGTCTTGTAGAAGAGTTCTTAGTACTTGTTTACCTTGTTGTTTGGTATGTTTCAAAATGGCCTCACGCTACATTTTTAGTAGTGGGGACTGTTTGGGTTGATGCTGTTTTTCCTTTTCTGGTTGATCAGCATCAGAAGCATGTGCTCTCCTTCCTAGAATAGATATTTCAGCTTTAGGGCATGGTCATTTACTGAAAGGAAGTTGGGGGGTGGGTTCCTAAATATCTCTGTAAGAAAAATGCCAGCCCCTGATTTCAGCTTGGAGTTTATGGAGAAGTCACCCATCACTGTAGATTGAAGCAGATCTCTGATGCAGTTCAGTGCTGTCTTCCTGGGGATGGGTGGGCTCAGAGTAGCTTTAGCCAAATATCACCTGTGGGCAGGTGTGTCTAGAGGAATGGTTTCTGCTCCATGAACTTTGATATGGCTTCTTCTGTCTGAGTAAGTCTTGACTAATTCTTTTCAATTCTGAATAACTGTATGAGTGAAAACATTACTTGTATACCTACATATGCTGTGCTTTTTTGGTAATTGTGTTTGTTTTGTTTATAATTGCTGTCTGTATTTCAGTGTTGTTTTTCCATGCTCCCTGCCTCACATTATGCATATTACTCCCAAAACTAATCTAGACAAAGCCATTGTTTTAGCTTCTTGAAATGAAGAATTAAAAAAAAATCAAAAGGAAATATAATTGTTCACTTTCACATGTTTTCTTATCCTTTTTTTACAGCCACCTGAGGTGTGTAGTTCTTGTCACTCTCAGAGACATCAAGCAAGGAGAAGAACTTCTTTCAAATTACTACACTGTTGTCAGATGAATTAATTGATTCAAGACTGAGGAAATCTGTGTCAATAAAATATGTACTATGTCTGTACTTCAAGCTTCATCATCATTTTTACTCAAGGGAAGGGCTGTAGCCTCTACCATTTGGAGAGCAAGCTGAAGGCTTGAATTTCTCTGGAAACAGTCCACATTCAATGCACAGGTGAAGGTTTACCCCTTTACATCATTAGGTTCTCAGCTGTCTGCTGTTGTTCATATTCCTGCTTATTGGTGTTCAGCTGTCCATATGGTAGCTTATAAAATTAAAACCCAAGTTCTGGATATATCATTAAATCTACTCAATTGCACAGTTGTCTGTAACTGGGACTCAGGACATAACTTGTAAAAATAACTTCCCTCATAGTTCACAGTAGTTACTAGTTCTGGTTCTCATGTTCTTGGAGCTGACCCCTTTGGTGTCAGCTTCCTTTTAAAAAGTATTCCAATGCTGCGAGTTGGCCCCTGGATGACAGTGCACCATGCAGGTGCAGCTGAGGGGCCCACCAGCATGGTTCCAAAATGGGCTTCATGAAAGATTAGGACATCTTAGCCACTGGCTTCAGTCCTGCCTGTCCTGGGCTAGGAGGAAAAGCGGTGTGTGTCTTGAAGCCTTGTCCAATCTTACCTTCAGTGATTCACTGAAAGTTTCCTGGCATGTGGCAACTTTCATAGCTTTTATTCTCAAAGACAGAGAACATCATGTTGCAGTGTAGCTGGATGAAACAATGCCAACCAGGTGTGCTGTGTATTTTTTTTTAATGAGTGACTGGTATAAACTGATCCAGGTATTCCTACGTTAATTCTTGCTGCTGTCTGCAAACTGCAGTCAGAAAGATCATCCCAGTACTTACTGCAAAAGTCCAAGCAAGCCTCCCAGTGACTTTGTGGTTGACATAAGCTCATGAGAAAGGAGCTGGGAAACTGTGCTGTAAGGCATTGGGAGTGGCTGGGGCAGCCAGGGTGCCCTTGCTTGGCTGCTGAAGCACCTGGTTTCCTTTTGAGAATGCAAAGCTTTTGGTGTCGGTGTTACTTGGTCTGTTTCCAAACCTGAACCTTGTCTTTCAGATTCATTTTGAAGTCCTTTGCTGCCAGGGCAGCCTGGCTATTTCACCAGGATTTAAATAGAAGAGCTCTGAGGTAGTGGCATCTGGCTCTGCATGGGTTGTGCAAGTTTTATGGTGATGCTTTGGATGACTTCCAGTGACAGTCCTTATGTCTTCACTGGGTAGTAACAGATCAGACAGTGATCTACTGAAGTCTACTGAAGAGGATGCTCCTCCTCCATGACTCTGAGGACCCCTTCTCTCCTGAGCTGGTCCTTCTCTCTAGCTCTCCACAGGCCTGTCAGCCTGACCTCAGTGCCTGGCAAGGTTATGGAGCAGATCATCCTAAGTGCAATCACACAGCACCTACAGGATGGACAAGGGATCAAATCCAGCCAGTACAGGTTTAGGAGAGGCAGGTCCTGTCTGACCAACCTGATCTCCTTTTACGAGCAGGTGAACCGCCTGGTGGGTGGGGGGAAGGCTGTGGATGTAGTGTATCTGGACTTCAGCAAAACCTTTGACACCGTCTCCCACAGCATTCCCCTGGAAAAGCTGGCAGCCCATGGCTTGGACAGGGGCACTCTGTGCTGGGTTAGGAACTGGAGGGCCGGGCCCAGAGAGTGGTGGTGAACGGTGCTGCATCCAGTTGGCAGCCAGTCACTGGTGGTGTCCCCCAGGGATCAATGTTGGGCCCAGTTCTGTTTAGTATCTTCACTGATGATCTGAATGAGGGGATCAAGTGTATCATTAGCAAATTTGCAGATCACCAAGTTAGGGGGGAGTGTTGGTCTACTGGAGGGCAGGAGGGTTCTTCAGAGGGACCTGGACAAGCTGGAGAGATGGTCTGATTGCAGTGGGATGAGGTTCAACAAGACCAAGTGCGGGGTCCTGCACTTTGGCCACAACAACCCCATGCAGCGCTACAGGCTGGGCACAGAGTGGCTGGAGAGCAGCCAGGCAGAAAGGGACCTGGGAGTTTGGATTGACAGGAAGCTGAATATGAGCCAGCAGTGTGCCCAGGTGGCCAAGAAGGCCAATGGCATCCTGGCCTGCATCAGGAACAGTGTGGCCAGCAGGAGCAGAGAAGTGAATCTTGCCCTGTACTCAGTGCTGGGGAGGCCACACCTTGAGTACTGTGTCCAGTTCTGGGCCCCTCAGTTCAGGAAGGATATTGAGGTGCTGGAGGAGGTCCAGAGAAGAGCAACAAGGCTGGTGAAGGGACTCGAGCACAAGTCCTGTGAGGAGAGGCTGAGGGAGCTGGGGTTGTTTAGCCTGGAGAAGAGGAAGCTCAGGGGAGACCTCATCACTCTCTACAACTCCTTGAAAGGAGGTTGTAGCCAGGTGGGGGTTGGTCTCTTCTCCCAGGCAACCAGCAGTAAAACAAGAGGGCATGGTCTTAAGCTCTTCAGGGAAGGTTTAGGTTGGATATTAGGAAGAAATTCTTTATGGAGAGAGTAATCAGACATTGGAATGGGCTGCCCAGGGAGGTAGTGGATTCTCAGTCCCTGGAGGTGTTTAAGATGAGACTGGATGTGGCACTTAGTGCCATGGTATAGTAACCACGGTGGTGTTGGATCAAGGGTTGGACTTGATCTCAGAGGTCTTTTCCAACCCAGTTGATTCTATGATTCTGTGATTCTCTCTGGGAGGAGATTATTGGGCACCTTATGATCTGTGGAGAAGGCTGGATGTTGGGGTACCTGCAGCGTTCCTTAAGTTGGGGTTTATGGGTAAGTGGGCGTCATGGATGGAGTGATGCACTTCACCTGTAACAGAGCAACAACAATACACTATAACAAGTGAGTTAACAATCTCAGTGGTAGGTGTGACCAGGGTTTAATATGATTTGATGGCAAGGCACACCTAGCTATTTACTGCATACAGGTCAGGGTCAGACAAAGCTGTCACTGCGTCCCTGCTGTCAGATCATGAGGTTCAGACAGGACCCCCTTGCTTTCTAAACTCCTCAGACAGGAGTTCAGGCACAGCTGGATCCAATCCTGGTTCCAGACTTGGGTCGACAGTTTATCAATTCTTTGTATCCCTGAGCTAAGATGTCAAAGTTTAGCACACTTACTGAGAATGTGCTGCCACAGGGAATTGCTCAACCTAGAGGCATAACATCAATAGATACTCCTGCTCAGGGGGTGATCCTGGTGTGCAGCCACTGCTGTGCCGGACAACTCAACAGACTCTGGTGTGCCCTCTATTTATGGGGGAAGGCGACTGGCTTACAGTCGTAGTTGTACACTGGCAAAGACATCTGGGTCACCATTCCAGGTAGGTCTGGCTACTGTGTTTCATCTGACTCTCACATCCCCTACTGGTGGTTATAGTTTAACCTCTGGATGGAGGAGCAACCTGCCATGGTGGGGAGGACTAGTCTTGGCCAGGAAACACAAGTGCTGTTCATTGTTTTGCAGGCTGAGAGAGATGCTGTCATGTCAGGCCATTCAGCTGTCTCATTATACACTTGTTAATATACACTTTTAATTGCCCAACTTAAACATATACTCCTGACAATTTTGAAACTGAGGTTTACAATTTGTTTATTGAGAAAGATTTGCTTTCCTGCTCTTGCTGTCTCCTGTATGTGAATGTTGCTTGTTAGTGCAGGACCACAATGCTGAAGTGCAATGCTCTTCTGTCACTAACAGGGTGCCTGGGAATGGCATCTCCCTGCTGAGGTACTAAAACCTGACAGCCTGCTTCAGGGACTGCTCATACATAGGGGAAAGCAGCACCTGGCCTGCAACTGGCAGCAGCACTTGATTTCTAGAGCCAAAGCGTGACAGGAGGAGAAGCTGCACTCAGGTGGTACTTCTGAGCAAGAAGCAGCACAATATGGTGACTAAGTGGGAACAAGGAAAATGGAACAGTAGAAATAATGGTTACGTGTACATCACAGTGGGACTCGTGTAGGAGGTGCAGTTCCTAGGCGACTTCTGTGGCACTCTGGAAGGAGAACGGGAAAGGTGTGAGTTTGTGTAAATGCTGCTGCTGCTCATTCATCCCCCTTCTCTTACTCATCAGACCATGATGAGTAAGAGAGACCACCATGAGCTCTTCTGACCTGCTAAACACAGTAACGACACCACCACAAACCCCACCCAGGCTTTCTTGCTTGTTTTCTGCTATTGCAGTGAGTGAAATAGCTCATAGAAGGGCCAGAGTGAGCAGGAGGCCCATAGGTGTGGCAGAGTTGCTGATTCGACTCACTGGATCTTATGAAGCTATGCTTTCACACACTTCTATTTTGCACATGAAGGTGATGCTGTACTTACCCAACATCTCATTGCCTGCCAGGCTGCTTTGCTCCCTGGCTGTGTGCTCCTTCCCTGTGCTAGTTCTGGAGCTCACCTGGTGACACAGAAAAACGAGTCAGTAACTACAGCAAAAGGCAGTGATGATGTTCTGTCATGTTAAAGAACTGTGTCAGATCTTTGGCACAGCAGGCAGCTGTGTGCCAGCCAAGGCACAGGAGTGGTTGGGGATAGGCAGCCGTGCTGTAGGGGGCCCACAACCTCTGCATGGCAAAGCAGCAGGAAAGCATGTTCCTGGCCTCCTCCCATACCAGAGGGCCAAGTCTTACTGGGAGCCCTAAATTACTTTTCCTTACAGAGAGGGAAGAGAAATCCAAGAACTAGTACAAAGTATTTTATCAAACTGATTGCCTGTAACCCTTGCTGCCTTGCAAGTTGTGGACAAAACAAGTCAGTCAGCAAGGCAGCAGCGGCAACTGAGATAAGTCTGGAGGTGAGGTTTAGATTGAGCTATAGAGTGGGGTTCCTGAACTCTGGAAAACCAGAGCAGCAGCACTGAACCCTGTTTGGACCCAGAAGCACTCAGAAGCCAATTGGTCACATTGCTGGGAGCAATGCAGGAGATGTAAATGGCTCTAAGGAGCACAAGTCACTGGCAGTGATGGTAGAGTATGATAGGGAAGGCAGGGAGGGCAGGACATGGCAGGGTGAACAGAGTATGGCAGTGAGGGCAGGGCACAGCACTTTGCCCGGCTATTCACACAGGAAGGGCTCCTCTTTGTCCGCCTGAGAGGAGCTAGTAGAGGCAGATAAACAGAGTCAGTATGTGGTGGAAAAGAGCTCGAAAAGATCTTTCCAGCCCCAGTCTTCAGTGTACTAGTTTAAGCTTTTTCAGTTATGGTGTTGACATGCTGCAAAGCTCAATCCCTTAGAGCTGTGGGAGTCACTGAACCAGCTATGTCAGAGGCCTCCAATCAGACCTGCTGACGGTAGCTGTAGCTCTCCAGGTCACAGGTTGCCAGGAGCACCTGCTGCCTCTTTGTGAGGCTGTGACAGAGGAACAGTTCTTTTCCAGAAGGTTGAAGAGCTGTGTCACCAGGGGAAGGAGCTACAGGAAGAAGTGAACAAGCTACTTGGTATTTGAGTGAACATGCAAGAAACCAACCCATTATTTTCAGAGACACTACAGTCTCAAGACTCTCAGGAAATCCAAATCTCCATTGTAGTGAAGAAGCAGGTGGACTCAGAACCCTGAATCATAATTAGTCAAGGATCTGTTGAAGATGAAGGCTGGAAGCAGGTCACTGCACATACCAGGAGGAAGGTTCTTCCTCCTGAAAACTTATAAAGTAGGACTGGCACCTTCTACAACAGGTATGAGGCCCTAGAAGGCCACACAACTGATGAGGTGGACGAAGGTCCTTCTGGCATAGAGGAACCTCCTAAAGCAACACCAAACTGTATCCTGCATCACAACCTCCTCTGTCAAGAGAAAAAGAAGGGTAGTTGTAATAGGAGACTCCCTTCTAAGGGGAACAGAGAGCCTGATATGCAGACCAGACCCAATCCACAGGGACTTCTCCTGTCTCCCAGGGGCTCAGATAAGGGACATTAGTGGAAAACTCTCCAGTCTAGTAAGGCCCTCTGATTACTGTCCACTATTGGTTGGTCAAATCGGCAGTGACAAAATAACAAAGAGAAATCAGAGGGCAATCAAAAGAGACTTCGGGGCCCTGGGGTAATTGGTAAAGGGATCAGGAGCACAGGTAGTGATTTCCTCAATCCTTCTGGTAACAAGGAATAATATTGATAAGAATAGGCAGATCCCTCAGGTCAATGAATGGCTCTGAGGTTGGTATAATTGGAAAAATTTTGGGGTTTTTTGACCATGGGATGATCTGCTTAATGCCTGGTCTGCTCATGCCTGCTGGAACGCACCTTTCTCAGAGGGGAAAAAGAGTTCTAGCACAGGAGCTGTCAGGGCTTGTTGACAGAGCTTTAGAGTTGCTTGGAAGGGGTAAAGGGACAAAACCAGGCTGGCCAGTGAGGAGCGATGAGATGGTGTGCCAAAATTTGAGAAAACCAGCACTTAAGAGGATCCCTCAGTCAAGAGGTGTTGACTACAGTGTACCACACCTGAAATGTTTTTACACCGATGCAAGCTGCAAGAGGAACAAACAAGAGGAGCTCAAAGCTTTGGCCCGGTCCAGAGATTTGACATCACTGGCACAAGTGAAACCTGGTGGGATGAATCCTGTGACTGGAGTGCCCTGTTGGATGGTTACAGGCTCTTGGGGAGGGATAGACAAGGCAGAAGAGGTGGAGGGGTGTATGTAATGTAGTGGAAGGGTTAGAGTGTATGGACCTCTGCCTCAGTCGGCAGTGGCACAGTTGAGAGCCTCTGGGCGAGAACCAAGGGGCAAACAAATAATGAGGATGTCATTGTGGGAGTCTGCTATAGACCTCCCAGCCAGGACAATGACGCTGATGAATTATTCTTTGCGGAACTAAGGGGCACTTCCAAGTCAACTGCTCTTGTCCTTATGGGGGACTTCAGCTTACCGGAAATTAACTGGGAGCATCACACAGCTGGTACAAGTGAGGCCAGAAGATTCCTAGAAAACTTGTATGACAACTTTATGGAATAGGTCCTAGGGGAGCCACCTCAGAAAGTTGCCATCCTGGATCTGCTGCTTGTCAACAGAGTGGATATTGTGAGCAAAGTGGAGATTGGTGGCCGTCACGGCCACAGCGACCACCAAAGTGATCAAGTCTAAAATCTCTGTTGAGAGGAGGAAAAGTGCCAGCAAAACCTGAACTCTGGACATGAGGAGAGCAGACTTTGGGCTGCTCAGGGACTTAGTCAGTAAGGTCCCCTGGGAAAATGTTTTTGCAGGTGCTGGGATCCATCAATGCTGGTCGCTTTTCAAACATCACCTCCTAAGGGCACAGGAGCAGGCAATTCCCAAATGCTGGAAGTTAAACAGATGAGGCAGAAGGCTGGGTTGGATAAGCAGGGATCTTCTCTTGGAAATAAGGCAAAAAAGGAAGGTATATGCCCAGTGGAAACAAGGTCAAGTGACATGGAAAGAATTCAGAGACGCTGCTTGTCACTGTAGGGAGAAAATTCATGTGTCCAAAGCTCAATTGGAGCTGAAGCTGGCCAGAAATGGGGAGGACAATAAAAAGAGTTTTTTCAAATACATTAATGGCAATTGGCAGCGTAGAAATATCATCAGCCTGTTACAGGATGAGGATGGTCACCTCACAAATAGGGACAGAGAAAAGGCAGAGGTGTTTAATGCATTCTTTGCCTCTGTCTTCAACATGGATGATGGAGCAAGGGGGTCTCAGTGCCCTGAGCTGGAGGACCATGACTGTGAGAATGATCAACTCCCAGTCAACCCCAAAATTGTGTGGGATCTGCTGCTCCAGCTGGATCCCTGCAGATCTATGGGGCCTGATGGGAATCATCCCAGAATCCTTTCTCAATGATTTTTGAGTGATCATGGGAATCCAGAGAGGTCCCAGCTGACTGGAAGCTGGTGAATGTTGTCTCAATTTTCAAGAAGGACAAGAAGGGGCACCCCAGAAACTACAGGTCTGTCAGTCTCACTTCAGTGCCTGGTAAAATTATGGAGAAGATTATTCTGGGAAGTATTGAAAAACACCTGAAAGACAACACAGTCATTGGTCACAGCCAGCACAGCTTCATGAGGGGAAAGTCCTGCTTATCAAACCTGATTTCCTTCTACAACAAGGTAATCCACCCAGCTGATCAAGGGAAACCAGTTGGTGTAATCTTTTTGGATTTCAGTAAAGCTGCCTCTCACGTATCCTTCTGGACAAACTGTCCAGCACAGCTGGATAAACACATCATGCAGTGGGTGAGCAATTGGCTCACAGGTCGAGCACAGAGGGTAATAGCGAATGGGGTGACATCAAACCGGTCACTAGTGGGGTTCCACGGGGCTCCGCCTTGGGCCTTGTGCTATTCAACATCTTCACAAATGACTTGGACACAGGACTGGAAGGGATACTAAATTTGCCAACACCACTAAATTGGGAGGATCTGTTGACTCCATGGAAGGCAGGGAGACCCTGCAGAGAGACCTCAACAAGTTAGAGAGATGGGTAATCACTAACCAGATGAAGCTTAACAAGGGAAAGTGCCAGATTCTGCACCTGGGACAGGGCAGTCCTGGAATAGAGAGAAGCACCGTGGAAAGGGACCTGGGCTCCTGGTCAACGGCAAATTGATTATGACTCGGCAGTGCCCTGGCAGCCAGGAGGGCCGTGTCCTGGGGGGCATCAGGCAAAGCATTGCCAGCTGATTGAGGGAGAGGATTTACTATGACTCGCCCCAAAAGGGGAGGGTAACCCAGGTTCTTATTAATAAATTTCTTGGGGTGGATTAGGGTGAAACAACACTGAATAATTGGTGTTTGTAAACATATATGGGTAGGGTTTATTTTAGAACAGTTTTGTTTCAGAGGCAAACAGTTATGTTGCCGTTTTGGGTGTTATCACCTATAGTAATACAGCAGTATTGAAGAAAAATAACACTTTAGGAAATGCATAAGGAAAGGAAGAGAAAGAAAGGATAAAAGTGGAAAGATATATACAGTCACTGCAATGGATCCAGCAATGAAACTTGATAGTTGCAGTTTCCTTGCCCGTTGATTGAAGTGGTGGTCAAAGTCCTGTCAAAGTGATGGTCTTGATCTATCAGGGCTGGGGGAAGTTCCCCACAAAACTCAAAGATTTCATGAGTTGTTATTATTAAACACTTCAAGCTCAGGTGGGAATGTACCTCCCCTGGGGCAGGGAGTTTTACAATGGATTCTATTACCTGACATGTCATGAGTTGATGCTCCTGCTCCCCAGAGGGGTTTTCACAGCAGAGTCATGTAAGGGATTGCAGGATTTGTCTCTTCTTAGCCTCTTCCCTTATCTGGAAATCCAGTTTGTAACTTCAGGTATGCATACTCTCCTGCATCTGGGATGGTTGGACAATGGCACCCACATATCTGATCTGAAGGTCCTTTCGCAGTAGGCATATTCAGGGAGGGGTGGGCTTTGCTGGGTGAGCAGTTGTTTCTTTTCAGTTTGCTACAGTGAGCAAAAGTCTTTTGGTGATCTTACAAAGTTTAAGCCATTAACTATTTCAGTCTCTGACAGGATTGTCCCGCTCTGCTCTGCACTGGGGCAGTCTCACCTTGAATATTGTGTGCAGTTTTGGGCACAACGTAAGAAAGCTACTGGAGAGCGTCCAGAAGAGGGCAATGAAGATGGTGAAGGGCCTTGAGGGGAAGTCGTATGACGGCACTTGGTCTATTCAGCCTGGAGGAGACTGAGGGGTGACCTCATTGCAGTCTACAACTTCCTCATGAGGGGAAGAGGAGGGGCAAGTACTGATGTATTAATTCTTGTGAACCAGTGACAGAACCCAAGGGAACAGCATGAAGTTGAGTCAAGGGAGGTTGAGGTTGGATATTAGGAAAAGGTTCTTCCCCCAGAGGGTGGTTGGGCACTGGAACAGGCTCCCCAGGGAAGTGGTCACAGCACCAAGCCTGACAGAGGTCAAGAAGCATTTGGACAATGCTCTCAGGCACATGGTATGACTCTTGGGGATGCTCCTGTGCAGCGCCAGGAGTTGGACTCGATGATCCTGATGGGTCCCTTCCGACTCAGCATATTCAACGATTCTATGACTTAGGCACCAAACAGCCAAGCACAAGGACTTCAGGGGCTGCTTATCTGTTTAGTGACAGAAGGTAATGTGTCCTGTGACTACCTAAATGGAAATGTAAAGTTATGCAACTACCAAGTTGAAGGGAGAGTTTTACATTGAATATACAGATACTAAACTACCACCATTTTTAAGACTCCAGCATTGCAAGGCGAACAATTAGTTGCATCAAAACAAGAAAGGACTAGATGGGGTCAGTCATTATCATTTCTCCTAACATCGATCTTTATGCTAAACAATAAAAAAGGAAGGTGCAGCTTGTAACTGAAGTGTTTTGGATAGGTATTTTGTTTTGCACAGGTATTTCGTTTTGCATATTGTGTTGACCATCATTACAAAGATACCTACCTTATATGTCTTCATCAGAGGCAGAAAAGATCATTACATTACTTGGCAAATTACAACTTTTGCTGTTTAGAATTGTATCAGCTTGCACTCCTGTGTAATTGAAAAATAATATCTTTACCTGAGGCTTTATTGTGCCAGCCACTGTAAAAACAAGCATTTTGGGCCTAGCAAAGCACAGCACTTAGCATCTGGCCTTTGACAGAACTGGTATGTAAGATCTTACAAAGAATATGGTGCTTTTCAGGGTCCAAAATCAATGCTTTTTTTCTTGGGGGAAAGGAAAATCAGGCCAAAAAGCATTTCAGATAGTTTAAATTTAGCATTAAGGCCTAAGCCAAGTAAAATTTTTGTATTCAAACCTATAATCTAGCTTGACATGGATTTAAGAATTTGGGTGAGTTTTCTTCCCCCAGAGAACAGCAATGTGATATGCTAAAGCCACAATAAAGTCCCATCTTGCATTTGCTATACTTAAGTCATGTTTTAAAAATTTGAGAGAAACCATTACTTTACTATTTTACCTGCATCACTGTGTGCCGCATTCTTCACTCTTCTCTATGCAGTGCTAGGTAGAGCGGTAGCCTGAGATTTAGCAGTACCCAGAGCTGTTAAAGTATGTTCAGAGTAACTGCTAAATATCTGGAAATGAAGTAGCAAATATAGTGCAGATGCATGAAAAGCTTTAGAAGTAAAGAAAGGTTTCCAGACATTTATTTCTGGAACTGTACACCAGGTATTAAAGTACAACAAATACAAAATAATGCTCAAAAATCAGTGTTTATGTACAAATATTAAAACCAATGCAACAACAGCAACTTCCTCTTGAACATCTGATACTAAAACATGTTCCGATTGTCACTTGATTTGTTGTTATGCACAGGGTAACTTACTTTGAACGGAGAATAACTGGAATCTCTGTTTTATTAGGAAGACTATATCCACTCCTACTTTATTTTACAATTGATAGTATCTTCCTCCTTCTTTCAGTGAAAAATAGGACTAAAAAAAATAGTAACCTCATCATTATCTTACAAATTACTGTATTTCGTTTCCCTGTAGACAATGTGCTTGTAATGCTGGGCAAATAGTGTCCCTGTTGATCAGTTTTTCCATTAGTTTACATTCAAACTTGAAATACTCACTAGAGACTTTGGTTAAATTAAGTAGTGTCACTGTGTTCTACTTGAACTTAAGGTTTCCTATATTTTTGACTCTCAGTTTCAATTGCAAAATTCATTGACCTAATTGTATACAATTTCATGTTCCTCAAACAGTATTGTACATCCTTCAAGTAAATTCAGCAGTTTGACCACGACAAGAGGAAGACTAAACACTTAAGAACCTAGCATGGGAAGATGATGTGTGACCAACTGAAGTAAAGGTATTGCTATAATCACAGCACCAGTTACACGTCTAAATGAATGTGCTACCCTCTTCAGATTCTCTGTACATAAAAAGGATACATTTACCAACACTGCAATTGCCCATTATGGATTTTTTGGTTTGTTTGTATGAAGAAAACGTGGCAAAGGACAAAGAATTCATCACGGTTTGTTATAAGAATTGTGCTTTACCATCTGAGAACCAAGGCATTCTAATTTCTTCATATGGTTGCAATTCAGTTATCTCCATGCTGACTTTCAAAATGCAATTCTTTTAATAAACAGTAACAAGTTCTCCATTTAAAATGTTTAAACTGAGAGAAAAAAAAAAGTAAGTCCAGCTTTTAAAAGAAAAGTTCAATAAATAGGTATTTTACATGGATAAAGTCATAGTGGTACAAATTTATGAATGTCACATCAAGCATGCACAAAAATGTTACTATACACAGAAGTAGTCAGAAAATATTGAAAGAGATATCTAAAAAGATATGAAGAATTTACATATTTACGAAATCTTGCAAATTATTGCCTCATTTTAATAAGGAATTAAAAGTAAACGATACCAGCTAGCTAGCCAACAGGCTAAGTAAGATCAGCATTTATATTAGACTACCTGGAATTCATTTTTCTCTCATATCATTTTCTGAATTTTGGTCAAAGTCTTTATTAAATAACTAAAGTGTCCTTTCAACTTGCTGACAACCCAAACCTTAGACAAGTCTCTGCCTACATTAAGAGCCCAGCAATGCATAGATAAACTGAATATATTACTGCATCAGCTAATGAGAATGGGCATGTTCATTTAAGTGCAACTGGTAAAAGCATTCAGTCATCTTTGTATAATGATTTTTATGCAGACCAGCCACTCACTGTAAACCCATAGATAAACTTGAATGTATAACAATGGAGGATTTATGGCCAGTATTTTACAAAATTACTTAAAATGGGTTGATTCATAAACAAAAGAAACAAGGTACAAAGCTCAGCACAAAACACAGCAGTAAGAAGATGAGAACTTGGCTAACAATGTCCAGAGTACAACACAGGGCCAAGGCTACCCGTTATTTACTGTGTACTTAATTAAGTTACATATTTCAGATGTTTAGGAACTGATTAAAAAATTATATCTACTTTTGTCCACTGTGCTAAATTAATTTGTTTTTAATATGGTAAATGTGCTATTGCATAAACACTTCAAAGCAATCCTCATTGTAATGCTGTAAAGAAAATTCCATATGCTGCATCTGAAACTCGGGATGTCAATGCAGTTCACAGTACGCATAATAAATACCCTCTTCCCTTTCAAATATTAAAGTCACTAGTCTCTAATTACTCAGCATAACCTTGAAGCAACTATTACAAATAACAATGCAAACTTAATCACTTGAATAATGAAAACAAATTAGTGGCAATTAAATTTGTAATACAAAACAGTGCAAAGAAAAAGTATGGAGGGAAAAAGGCAATCCTACTGAAGTAAGGTTCAGGCTCCCATTAAACACCCTGCAAGCTGTATGCTACATCAACCTGTTACAAGCCAATACTATGCTTGGTTTGACTCTCCTACAGGAATTCCAACAAACATTTGCTAGACAAACTTCCTGGGTGGCTAAATTGGTTCAAAATAAAAAGGTTCAAACCAAAAAAATTTACTGAAGTTAAATAGTTGCTTTTATGGGAGACATTTTTACTCATCCTTTCCTATTTGACCAAGGAAGTGAAGGGACACTTTGAAGCCAATGACTTGCCAAAAAAAATAAATGTAATCCATGCTAAATAAAAACTTCCAAGCACGTACTTCAAGGTTCTACTATTCCTATGTAAACTAGACAGTGCCTTAAAACTGTAACACTTTGAACTGCAGTGCTCCAAACAATTTAAGATGTCTTCCAAATGCAGACTGTTTGTTTAGTGGTAAATCCTAAGCTGTGCAGACTGTAGCTTTATACAACATCTGCTACTTCAGAAAAGTTAAGGTACATGATTGCATTACTCTTCGAAGTCATGGACAAAACCCACTCAAATTCAATATAGCCTAAAACTCATCTGTTTAAGCCAGTAAATTTAAAGTACACAGACATCTACAGCAGCATGATTACTCTGTGTAAGGTAGCCATGGCCTATAATTTTGCAACAGCATCCAAATGTAGATCTTCACTTTACTCATATTAAGTTCCTTGTGCTAGCTTCCACTAACATGAATTTGCTGTTTTGTAAACTGAAGTGCTCTAGTTTAATATCACATGAGTAAAGGTTCCACTTAAAAAACATCCTTGGATGTTTGTGCAGTTTAAAGTAAAGAAGCCCATCCCTGCCTTTATAAGGGGAAAAAAAATGCTACATTGAGCAGGGATCAGGATTGGTACCTGTAAACATTGTTATTTCACTGCATTCATTACGGCAAAAGTAACTTAGACTAAAAAGCCACTCCAATCTGTTCAGAACTTCTGTGCTGGTTTTGAAACGGTGGCCTCCGTCTACAGGCTTTAAAATAAAAATGAAGCAGAGCTTAAAGCTGCACCACAGAGTTCTTTTAGTCCCAAACTCTGTCAAACATCCTGTGACATTTCCACATTTATGGACTGAAAAAAGAAATTACTCTTGATAAATCAAGATATAGTTCTATACATACAAAGACATCACTGATGTCATAAAGTTCAAACTTCCAGTGAAAGACTAGGCAAACCTGATAGCTCCCATCAAGTTTACTGCTACTGCATAAAGTACCCACTGTTTGTTTAGTTTTCCACAGTCATTCTGAGTGAAGGGCAGCATGTTGGTGGAGTGTGTGGGTATTGATAAAACCATTTGTCTCATTTGCAGATAGACTGCTGAAGTCAGCCACTGAAACAGCCATTTTGGCACTGGTAATGTGATGTGTGTGGTTCTCAAAGTCTACACCAAGGTTATTTACAGAGACATCATTCATGAAAGACTCTGGGACAGCAATTCCCATTTTCAATCTCTTCGCAGGTCTTTCTGTCTCCTCACTGCATATGTTCATTTGGTTTAGCTCTGAATGATAAAAGCCAGTCTCAAATAAATTAAAACAATCACTTTCACCATTGCTAGGCAAGTTAAGCAACTCTTCTGTTCCAACAGGCACATGATTAACTGGTGCTCGTGGTAAGCTGTCCATGGGAGGGAAGGTGTCATCCAGGCAGTTCACTTCTGAAGTGTGGCAGACTGTAGCTACACTGTTTGTCAGTGCTGGAAAACAGATGAACACAAATGCAAATGAAACAGTTGTTTGCATAATTTTAACAAAGAGATTTATTTTTTTCTTGATTTACCTGTCAACTCATTGGCAGTGATAGAGTTAAGAATGCTCAGCTGCTGATCAGGAATGATTTCAGTTCGACTGTTAGATGTTAAGGCTGAAGAATGGACTGCTCCACCAAGGGATTCTGCTTCATCTACCAAACGATCCATGTAGTCCCTGAAAGAATATTGCATCCACCATGTATCACAGAACCAGAAAACAAGACCTATAAATGATGATGGATTTAATTTCAGTTGCCATGGCCACTGAGGCATTACAATGCAGTGACAGAAAGGGGGGCAAGGGGGGAGAAGTCTTCTACATTTATGATTTCCAACAGAAAACATATTCCAAGAACATTTGACTTACGTAACTCCTGGATGATGGTTATATCTCTTCTTTCCAAATCTTGTTTGCTGAGCAAAATAATCATAACGTTCTGACTTTTTCCACATGTAATAGAAAGCCACACACTCAGCCACTGTTCTGGTTCTTACCTAACAGGCAACAAGAAGAACTGACAAGATTAATGCAAAGACTTAGGTTTTGTCATCTTCCAATTCCAACTTCTGCGATATTATTAGTTTTTACTGTTCTGGAACAACCAAATTTCCTTAGGAGACTTCAAACAGATTTGCAGTTTCAAGTAAGTATTACATTTGTTTTACTCTATGTATTATTTGCCTTCTTTTTAAAATTTGATTGAAACTCTGTATCTGAAGTACTTACATATATTTTTATATATATATATATATATATATATATATATATACACAAAGCCACTTTTAAACTGTTAGATAGATGTTCCCTTATGATGGAAAAAGCTGAGGAAATTAAGGACCTAAGAGAAGTGAAGCAGAAAAGATTCTAGGTATGTAATCCTTTGGGTAAAGTCCAGAATTGTGGAAGCTTTGACAACAGATAATCACAATAGTAAATGCTGAAACAACAAAATAAAATTATAGTCTTGTTGAGAAGCTATAAAGGACTCAAAACTCATTTTGATTTATGTTGACTGTTTGTCTCTTTCCCCACAATGGAGGTTGCTCTGTGAAGTCAGATTCCTGGAGAAAGAGTCACTACTTCTACCTATACTTATATCCATTTTTTGATGCAGAAACATTTCACATCATCATCAACCCACAGTTCTAGTTTAAATTTTACAACTATAATATGCACTTTTATCCAGATACAGTCTGGTAGTAAAATAAACTTAATCAAACTTACAGAAACATCAGCGGCAAATCCAAAATGCCTTGTATGTAGTGTAAGCCTTGCTAGTTTAGACAGAAATATACTAGGCAGGGGAGGACATTAACAGGTGTCCATATGATGGTATGCAAAGTCCCAGTTAACAACAGTTTCCAGTGCAGTGACAGAGAAATATATCTTGTTAAGCTCCTCCACACACTAAATCTTGTCTAGCTGATACTTTCAGTATACCAAGGACATCACCTTATGCCAGGTCCCAGAACCTTCCCTAAACTTTCTGGCATTTTATCTACTTGTCAAAAAAAACCCCCAAAACAGTGGATTTCTTACACAAATTCTTGTCCATAGTGACACATGTATCAACATATGTACTTTGCTCAGTGTTAGAAAAAAATATTTTTAATCTATGATGCATCAATGTTTATTTGTAAGGTCCCCTTAAAATCTGAATCACCTAAACATTATTTAGGATGGGTTAAACCAGGTATTGAGCAAGACTAGCAGACTGTTGTTAAACAGCAATCACAACCCTATAAAGTTTACCTGAAATACAACAAGAACACCAGACTCCTAGAGAAAAAAATTTTCAACGTGGTATCAAAAGCATAAAGGAGATAAACAGGAAATTTTGAAACATTCATATTGTCAACTGTTACTCTTTGATTAAAAAAAAAAAATCCCTATTATTCAGGCACAGAGGAGTCAATCAGAAGCAATCCAGACCAAGGTTAGAACTCCTCTGCTGCTCAGAAAAGCGAGTACTGATGGAGGACTACACTTTAAGAAAACAAAAAGAGCTAAGCCTGATCCTGTAAACTTGCACCTACCTGGTTAATTTAAGTAAAGGTGCATTTTCCCCTCCTACAGCCATGGTACAGAAGTACTGTACTTCTAGGAGAGGCACACAAACTGAGTTGTAATGCACATGCATAAATAGAAGTAATGTCAACACACTGATTTCAGAGTGCAATACGCTGATTCATCGTGCAATGCCTAAGGTTTCCAGTGGTGTCTAACGAAAAAACTAGTGCAAAAATGCCAAACTGGTTTTAATACTGTTCTTATTTCCCTCTTCTGTATAGCTTCTGACAAACATATTGCTTTTATATATTTTCAGCATCACATAGTTTACCAATTCTTCCATTTAACTGTAAAATACCAACCTTGTTTTTCTGTATGAGATGAAAGTCTTTTCCATAAATCAGAAGTGCGTGTTCAAAGCTTCTGCACTCTTCTTCTGTCCATGCTGTCATCTCTTCTAGACAATTACAAAAGTAGCATGAGAAACTTGATTTTGCTCACTAATCCTTCACAAAGAATAAAATTTTTGTTCCTAATGGATGAATATCCAAACACATTCTAAAAAAAAGTACCTCAGTTATTTAGATCCATGTTATTTCCTCTACTGAATGGATATCCTACCTGAAATATAAGATTCTTCTTTATAAAGAATCTTCTAGAAGAGTTTGATTTCTGAAATCTTTCATTCTTGAGGGTAAATGATATTCAAAATGATCACTGCCTTGAGGGCAAATGATATTAAAAAGATTTATTATTTTTTAATAAGTTTGTCATCAAAAGAATATTTGATTGCATCAGATAGGTAACGTTCTCAGTACTTCTTCTTACATAGCATACAAAGAACAGCGGTTGTTGGAAAAAGGAGTGACGAAAAATCCTGTTTTAAAAGATGACCCTGCCTTGAGTGAGTGAGCAGTACTTTGGTTCAGGCATCACAGACAAGAAGGCCTGACAGCTCAGCCCTGATGTGCAAAATGGATTTTTGGACAAACAACATCACAACACAAAAACTCTTCTTACTTTCCTATCTTGAATGTGGCTTTGGGTATATACATAAATAAAGAGGGATTTTTCAGGCATCTTACAATCATAATGGTGACCCAAAAAGTTTCCATTCAACTAATATTTAAAACCAATGGGGGAAACCCCCCCACATTTCAAAACATTTCTGGAAGTAGACACTGAAACCAAGACCTTTGTGCTCCCAGATGAAGCTGATAATTACTCCACTGCACTGTCATGCTCTTTCTTTCTCAGCCCCATTAATTTTTCACTCCTTACTAAGAGTCTTCAACCTTTGAAGAGAAGAAAATATCCCCATGTAAAGTCTCACTGTTGAAAAACTATCCTGGGAGTGGTGGATTTTTAATTCCCACACTGAGAATAATAGTGAGCTTCAGTGGGTAGAGGAGATCATAACATAATGGTTACTCTAAGAGGCAGGCACTGACAATATTATAGAATCACAGAATCATTAAGGTTGAAAAAGTCCTCAGAGATCGAATACAACCCTTGACCAAATGCTAGCATGTCAACTAAACCGGAGCACTAAGTGCCCTATATGTCCAGTCATTTCTTGAACACCTCCAAGGGATGGTGACTCCACCACCTTCCTGGGCAGTCCATTCCAATGTTTAACCACCCTTTCAGAGAAGAAATTCTTCATAATATCCAATACAAACCTCCCCTGGTGCAGCTTGAGGTCATTTCCTGTCATCCTGTCACTAGTTGTTTGGGAGAAGAGAACCAATCTGGGGTTCCTGTGGGGACCTGGCTACAACCTCCTTTCAGGTAGTTGTAGACAGTGATAAGGTTACTCCTGAACTTACTTTTCTCCAGGCTAAACAACCCCAGCTCCATAAGCTGCCCCTCCCAGGACTTGTTCTTCAGACCCTTCCCCACTCCACTGTCCCTCTCTGGACATGCTCCAGCACCAAAATGTCCCTTTTGAAGTGAGGGGCCCAGAACTGAACTCAGGATTCGAGGTATTCCCTCACCAGTGCCAAGTACAAGGGGAGAATCACTTCCCTGGTCCTGCTGGCCACACGATTGCTGATACAGGCCAGGATGCCACTGGCCTTCTCGGCCACCTGGGCACCCTGTCTGGATCACATTCACCTGCTGTCGACCAGCACCTCCAGGTCCTTTTCCGGCTTTTCACTCTGCCCAAGCCTGCAGCATTGTCGGGGTTACTGTGACCCTGGTGCTGGAGCCAGCACTTGGTCTTGTTGAACCTCATACAATTGGTTTTGGCCCACTGATCCAGCCTGTGCAGATCCCTCTGCAGAGCCTTCCTGTCCTCCAGCAGATCAACACTCACACCCAACTTGGTTATGCCTGCAAATTGACTCAGGGGCACACTGATGAAGATATTACATAGAACTGCCCACAATACTAATCCCTGGGGAACACCACCTGGATTTAACTCCATTCACCACCACTCTCTGGGCCCAGTCATCCAGGCACTTTTTACCCAGTTAAGAGTGCACCTGCCCAAGCCACGGGCTGCCAGCTTCTCTGGGGGAATGATGTGGGAGACAATGTCAAAAGTATTTTTCAATCCTGAAACAGGACTCTAAATTCTAGAGAGGTACTGAATTTAGGATACAGTCCTGCAGCTGATGCTTTGTTTAGGCCTATACAATCTCTTCTTCTACATGAGGTGTCTGAAGCATTCTTCTAATAGTCCTTACTGCGTCTTTCAGCTTTACTTTAGTGTCCTGGTTTTGGCTGAGATAATGTTCTTCCTAGTAGCTGCTACAGTTTTGGACTCCATACAAGAATAAAGTTGGTAACACACCAATGTTTTAGTTGTTGCCAAATTGCACAATCAAGGATTTTTCAGTGTCCCATGCTCCGCCAGCGAGTAGGTGCACAAGAGGCCTGGGGGATCATGGCCAGGAGAGCTGACCTGAACTGGCCAAAGAGTCCATACCACAGACTAACGTGCTCAGTGTATAAACTGGGGTGAGCTGGCTGGGAGGGGGCAGGTTGGGGACAGGCTGGGGGCAGGCTGGGCATCAGTCAGCAAGTGCTGAGCAGTTGTATTGTGCATCACTCACCTTTCTGGGGGTTTATTCCTCTTTTCATTACAATTATTATTGCCATTATTGTCATCAGTGTCATTAGTATTGTCACTATATTTTTTTGATTCAACTATTAAACTCTTCTTAGCTCAACCCACAAGTTTTACGTTTTTTCCCTCTGCTTCTTTTCTCCATCAGCTAAGGAAGCGGGCTGGGGGCAGGGAGGATGGTGTGGTGTGCAGAAGTAGTGAGCTACTTAGTAGAAGTAGTGTGATACTTAGTAGCTGGGGTTAAAGCACGTCAGATACTTGTCTTTCCCAGCACCCAACTTGTAAACACTCAAGTTTCCTTTGGATCCAGTTCTGAGTAGGAGCTATCTGCCAGAACACCAACTTACACCAGGGCTCATAATCCATTTCTACTTTATGCAACACATATGCAAAAATACAGGACAATGAACTGTTTTTGTTAAATGACAGACTGATTTTCATTTAAGGGAATAATAATTAATGGGGACAAACAAGATGGAAGCTCATTTTCCAGCATAAACTCAAGCAAAGCTATGGAACTATACGGTAGAACCAGTTTAGGGTTGGCATAGCACAATGTCAGCACAGTGAGGAAGAGAGTGGGACTTATTTATGTACCCAGCCACTTTCTCCTGATTTTGGTGCAAATGTCATCAGGCTGTTATTGATCATGATCTCAAAAAGATACTAGATTATGTGTGAGAACCGCCTTGTGGGAGCAGAATCACCACTCCCCAATCTGTGCCTTTCTACACATTGCAAACTTCTGTAGCAGAATTTCTAACTGGCCAACCATTACACCGATTTTGTGCTAAAGTCATCATGGATAGTGATGTGCTCGTTGATCTGATTCTTACTCAAGGTTTTCCCACAAAACATTTTTTTTTTCCAAACACACATTTCTGAAAAAACAGGTACTCTCTCTCTTACCCTGGGACACCTTTCCATTTGAGCAGTATCTCTCAATTGCTTCTTTAACATTATGGCTACTTTTAAGAAGTTCATACAGCGCCTATAAAAAGGAAAAAGTAATCAAAGTTTTCCAATTTTCAACCCAGACCTCCAAAACTAGCCTTCCAGAGAGCCTACTAACATAAGAAAAAAGAGGATTTGTTTATGAGTATGATGAATATTTAAAAATAACAACCAAAAGCAAAACCATCTAAAAGTTGAGACACAATTTAATTAAAAAAGTAAAATCTTATATGTAATTATTTAAAAAGTTAAATTTGTCAACAGTATGACAATCAGAAACACCACAGATCACAACACTGCCAACAATCAAACACTTGTGACTTTTAAATATGTGCATAAAATTACAAGTAAGATCCCGACCCAATCACATCCAATTAAGGAATGAAGAAATTGAGTACTGGTGCCATTACAATACAAGGCAGAGAAAGAGAACATACAGTAATTACAAAGCAATGTGTCAGAAATGGAATAGGATAGAAAACATACTTGTTCATTGTCCCGTGTATGTAGTCCTTCAGGAATTCTGCCAATCATTTTTTCATTTCCTGTTCTTAAGGAGGTTTCAAAAAGGTATTCTTTAACTTTACTTTCTGAGATCACATCAGGTTTCCAAAGTAAATGGTCTTCATTTTCATAAGCTGATAAAACAGAAATCCATTAGTGCCAGGTGTGACATTTTTAAGGGTGTAACATTAAAAGCTATTTCAGAAATACAAAGAACAGGAACACAGAAATAACCAAATCAAGCATGATCACGCCACTTGTAAATTGCAGGTCACTACAGCTATTTAGTAATTTTCAACTAAAATTTGCCAAAAATTACTCAGCAGAATGGCAATCTAGATCTCAATGTGGCAATTTGGTTTTCCATTCACTAACAACTAAGTACTCTTAAGAACTCAGTATGTTGCATATTTTACAAGTAATTAGGATGTACAGTCCTCCTTCATAGTACACTGAATTATGTACGCACCTCCTAGGCAGCTTATTTCCAGGACAAAATACTGGACATGCACAAGAGCTGGCCTGAACCTTTGCCAGTATGTGTGTATGTTTCAACACCAGATCAAACTATAAATCCTTTACTCTGGTCAATATATGTGATTACAATTGCACATAACGTTTCACATACTCTC